CGCGAATTAGGAGTTGCAGAATGCGTTCTTGGAGAACAACTAATCTCTCCAGGCGAGGCAGGCTCACAAAAATCATTGCAGGGCAAGCTGAAGAACAAGTAGGCAGGATCAACCTGAGCAATCGGGTACCACAGGGCCCAACCTCTCAGCCCAGAGCAATCGACAGTCCAATCTCCATCAGTCAGAAGGGGAAGATACTACGTTGCCATGGAAGCTAATCCTCTTCAGTAGGATGGCGGGTCCAACAACTATCATGTTAACAGTTACTCTGATAGTCAAACTCGATCAGATAATGGCCTACGCTGGTGATTGGTGAATTCTATTTTCCGACTTCATGGATAGTGCCCGTAACATAAGGTGATGTGCGCTTGTCTACCTCTTTTTTTATTTCCCCTGCTAAGTGCTTCATCAAAGACTGGGGGTTGGTTACTTGGAATCCGACTGGATTACGAGTTAACGAAATTTTCACATCGTCGAGTTAACATTAGACACTTTGACGATGCATCAGTCGCCACAGAAGTATGCATTGCAGTTTGCATCCCTCCCAATTTCTTGTCGATGTTAACAATACACCTCTGACAAAACCAGCTTATCATCCCTCGTCAGATAGGAATGATAGTCCGCGCAAAGTTGCTCCAAATTGCCAAGCACCAATCCTGTCAGCGTTACACTACATGACAAAACGCCAACTTATCATCCTCGTGCACATAGATGATAAGTCCGGCAAAGTTGCTCCAATTGCAACAGCAAATGCCTGTCGACTTAACACTACATGCTCTGACAAAACCCACTTATCAATGCCTCGTCAAATAGGATTGATAAGTCCCCTCAAAGTTGGCTCGGCGATGCGCAACACAAATTCTTGTCACGTTAAGCAATACACTCTGACAAAACGCACTTATCATCAGCTCGTCAACTAGGATGATAGTCCCTCAAAGTTGCTTCCACTTGCAACACAAATCCTGTCATGGCGTTAACACTAGACCTCTGACAAAATCAACTTTATCGACTCTTCCAATAGAGCGATAAGTTTCTCAAAAATTGCTTCCAAGCAATATCTTTCTTGTGCACGTTAAAGCCACTACAACCTCTGAGAAAATCCACTTATCGAGCTCTCTCAAAGAGCGATAGGTCCACAAACTCGTCAAGTTACACCACACGCTCTGACGGACCAAAATCAACTTATCGGACTCTTTCCAATAGAGCGATAAGTTCTCAAAAATTGCCTTTTCGCATAGCAATATCTTCTTGCCACGTTAACAGCTACACCTCTGACAAAATCCACTTATGCGACTCTCTTCAATAGAGGCGATAGGTCCACAACTCGTCAAGTTAACAGCCTACATACCTCTGACGGGACCAAATCAACTTATCGGACTCGTCTCGCATTGAGGCGATAAAGTTTTCAAAAATTTGCTTTCCATAGGCAATATCTTCTATCACGTTACAACGTACAACGCGTCTGCAAAATCCGCATATCGACTCTGTCTTCAATGGAGGGCGATAGTCCACAAACTGCGTCAAGTTAACACCAACACTCCTGAGCGACCAAATCAACTTATCGACTCTCTTTTGCAATAGAGCGATAGGTCCGTAAAAATATGTTCATCCGTTCAATAACACTCTAAATCGTAACCGCCCCCAATGAACTTGTTGAATTCTTCTCGGCTGTTTCAAGCCTAACGCGAAGAGAATGACAGCATGAAATCCATCCTTCACGCCTGGGGGCAGCTTTATCTCGATCCTAATTAGAGATAAGTCTGTATCTAAGCACATGCTGCCGCCGCCGGGTAGCGGCTATTCCCGCAATAATAGCAAGCCTACGTATTCAATATCGTAGAGGTCGTTATTTCAAATAACGGCCAAAAGATCCATTGCGTCCTACACCGCATGGGGAATTTTATCCTGAATCCTAAGTAGGCGATAAGTTAATGTCTAACACAGCGGGTTGCCGGTTAGAGTCTTTTACGCGTGAAGGACATCAAAATCCATGCCTCCGACGCATGGGGGACTTATTTGATCCCTAAATATTGAGATAAGGGTCTACGCCGTAACACGGCGTTCGGGTTAGTCTGTGGTTAGGCGTGAAAGGACCATCAAATCCATGCCTCAACACGCTGGGGGACTTTAATCTCCGCATCCTAGATAAGGAGATAAGTCTACGCCTAAACACGCGTTGGCCGGTTAGATCTTGTTCCCGTCAAACTGACAAAGTCTTGTATTCAAATCATAGCATCAAGACTAACGAGAGTTCATTTCTCCTTAGCACAACGTTACATGCTGGAACGGACCTACGTAATTCACATGCTAGCCCCGACTCAACGGTAATCCGTAAAGGGCTGTATCAATCGTTGATGGGCTTGAGGGTTTGGCCAAAATCCTACGCACATTTGCAGGCCCCAGTCAGGCTTAGCATGAGGGATGATGGAGTGTCGAGGACTTGAAAGACAGATGCCGCCAAAGAAGAAAGTCTCAAAGACTTAGTCAAAAAATGGCACGTGAGCCACCTTCCATGTCTTTAAGCTCCAAGGTAATGTGTGACCGAGCCGCCGAGCTGGCACAAACAACAAACCGGCGCCGAGGGTCACACCTGTGTTCCAAAGTTCAGCATGCAAGACCGGTGAACCCGGACTCAAGTTCAAAAATGTAGGGTCCACGCCCCACATCTCCAGAGCAGGATTATGGCACATATCTTCAACAACAGGTCCTCGCATGGAAAATCCGTTCACAGCTTGCTTTCGAAGCGAGTGGCAGAGAACAATCGCTTTGTGACAAGGGAATCAACAGGCTCCAAGATCAGAGTTAGAGATCCAAAGTATTTCCGAAAATTCGTCCGGCAGTCAACCGCGAACTTTCGAAACTTTGGAGGGGGTTCTGTATGGGCGGGAGGCTGTCTAAAAATCACATATAGATAGTTAATTCGGCCTCATCAAACACCGATGATGGAAAAAAGTTTTTTTAAAATATAATCTTGACGACCTTCCAGAAGGCTACAATTTTGAGGACTTTCACCGTAGGAAGGTTTACATCTGACGACTCTTCACAACAACTGAATGAAGGGCCCCATTCAACAGCATTCACAATCAACATCGGGAGTTACAATGACGACTCTCATATTTTCAAGGAACCACGACGAGATTATCAAGAGGAGATCTGTGTCAAAGCTCTAGCAACAGAGACTACAAATTGAGGTCGTCTTCATAATTAAACATGGGCGATATGCTCTCAACCATAAGGAATTTGGCTACCAACGGAGAAGCGAATTCTTGATGGCCGCCGTCTCGGTGCGTAGATAGCTGCGATTTTCATATATAATTTCGTCTAATTCGGACTTAGGTTTGAAATTATGACCTGTTCTTCGCAGCAAATTGATGTTCTGAGGGGTCCGTGCTGGCAAGACTCGGACTTCAACATCAGAACATGACTTTAGCAGCTGAAGCCCGCAAGGCCGCGGGCCTAAGGAGTTCGCGTCTGGCATTAGCAGAGTCAAAGCGCACGATGCTGCAACTCTGCGGTTTTCAACATCAAAACGCATGAGTTTACATCGCTAAAACAGACACTGTGGCGTTCTTCAGCCTTTAAACAGGCTCAACTCTGCGTTTTCAATCTAGATAACGCAGAGTTTAATCTTCTAAAAACAGCACAACTGTGGCGTTTTCAGCGCTTTAAACAGGCCAACGTGTGCGTTTTACAGGCCACTGTGGCGTTGTATGGCGCTCAAGCTGTGCGTTTTAGCCTGAAACAGGCCAACTGTGCGTTTACAGGCCAATCTGTTGGGGCGTTTATGGGGCTCACTGTGGCGTTCTACAGGCAACTGTGGCGTTGTACGGGCTGCCATACTGTGGGCGTTTAATGGCTAACTGTGCGTATTTTAAGGCGACGTGAAACGAGGCAAACTGTGCGTTTAGCGGTCAACTGTGGGGGCGTTTATGCTCAACTGTGCGTTTATGAGGGCTCACTGGGGGGCGTTTTTAGGCTGAAACATGCCAACTGTTGCGTATTACGGCCAGGCTGTGGCGTTTTCAGCGCTAAGCTGTGCGTTTTCACCTCAGCTGTGCGTTTCACCAGCTGTGCGTTTTCTAGCCCCCAGCTGTGCGTTTTTTCAACCCTCAACTGTGCGCGTTTCAGGTCAGAAACGCCAGTTCGAGCGCAGACGCTGTTTTGCAGCGTTTAACTCGTTCAAGCACTGATTTGAAACGGGTTTAGAACCGTTTTCTCCCCCATAGATTTTAAAGGGATCAACTACCCCTATCATGGAGAGGATTTAGTGTGGGAGAGTTAACCCCATTAAACCCTCATTAAGGAGATCGATTTAAGGGGGCGTTATACCCTTAAGCGCCCTATAAATACGTCAAAACTCAACTGGTTCGGATCCTCTTTTTTTTTGGAGGGGGAGAGCCTGACTTTTTTGGGGGATCCTTGATCGTAGCATCTTGCTGCGTTCCTGGGCAGGGCACCCAAGGAGTTTTGGAGACCAGGTGCAACAGGGAGGCTTCTTCTTGGCTTATTAACCGGAACTTTCGGTTCAAATCGCTCTTTTTCAAGAGTTCCAAATCGTTCAGAGTTATCAACGTCGATCAGAGTTCAAAACTTGCTCAATGGGGCTAGTTCTTCTAAAACTCGTTCAGAGTTATCAACTCGATGAGCAGTTGCAATTAACTTGCTCTGGCAAGTTTCTGTTCTAAAACTCGTCAGGAGTTATCATACTCGTCAAAGAGTTATTTCAAAACTTGCCGGCGCAAGTTCTCCAACGGGCCGTCAAAGTGCGGTGAGACGCATGACATCGTTCCCACGTGAATCAGACGTTCGGATCGTCCAACGAGAAGCCAACCGACGCGATGCATGTCGAGGACGGCATCTCCATGTCGCCACCCGTGAAAGAGACCCAAAATTAAACAGAGGGGAGAATGCGAATTCATTCTCCTCTCTTTTGTAATCGGAACAAAATTGTAATTGATTTTGAGAAGGAATACAAGTCTAATTTTTTTTCATTATTTCTTTTACTCAAATTTCCAACCAGACATATGCAAGATTGTATTGTCCCGGCCATTCACGTATGTATTCAGCCGTGAGATGGAGCTAGTGAGGAGAGTCGGAAGGAGTTGCCCGCGGAGCTTCACAACCCGAACACAATATCGGGTAAATACCGGTGACCTATCTAGTACATTTATGTCATTTAACGTACCAGGTAAACCAAAGAAAGCATGCCATATCCACAAATCATATGACGCAACTGCTTCAAGGATAACAGTAGTGGTGCCCTTGTGTCCACTAGTAAATTGCCCTTGCCAAGCCTTAGGATAATTCTTCCACTGCCAATGCATGCAATCGATACTTCCAATCATACCAGGGAAACCACGCTCCTGACCAACTTTGAGTAACCTCTGCAAGTCTTCCACATTTGGTCGTCTCAAGTATTCATCTTCAAACAAGGCAATTACTCCGTCACAAAAATTTCTAGTACACTCAAGTGCAGTTGTTTCCCCTATCTTGACGTACTCATCACAAGCATCTGCTGCAACTCCATATGCGAGCATGCGTATGGCAGCTGTACACTTCTGGATAGGCGTCAAACCAAGCTTTCCTGCATTATTGCGCCTTTGTGTGAAGTAGTTGTCGTAGTTTGACAAAGAGTCTACAATTCATAGAAACAAAGGCCTTTTCATTCGATACCTTCGTCGGAACTACATATCAGTGTATGTGCAGGACTCATCAAAGTAGTCTGCCATGAGCCTCTGATGAGCAGCTTCATGATTCCTATATATGGAGTTTCTCTTACGCGGTTGCTCGTTTCTACTTTGCAACTCTTCAAGAAGTTTTTTCTGCCTTTCGAGTATGGCTTTTTGCATCTCGAACTGTTGTCGAAAGTACTCTTCGAAATTGAAGTCATTTAGGGGTAGATCCATTGGTGGATAAGTGTTGATAATGAGTGGTTTTCATATGATGTGTGGTTTCCTATTTATAATGAATGACCTCCGGATTCAATCATTTTATTTAACAATATTGAATGTAAAGATTGGGTATCCAATAATGTAAATTCACATGTTGATGTCGGAAGTTAGTGGGTAGTGGATGGACAAGTCACATTCAATGTCAGAAGTTAGTGGGTGGAATAGTCACGTTCAATTTTTGTAGTATAGTGGATGGACAAGTCACATTCAATGTCAGAAGTTAGTGGGTGGAATAGTCACGTTCAATTTCAGAAGCATGAAACACACATTACAATAATTGAAACAATAGTGCAACACAGATTATGCAAATTTTTCTTCAAACAACTCCTTCTTCAACATCCTATATGCATATTCATCTTCATCATCCCGATCTTCTTTGTTCTTCAAGATCATCCACATTTTCATCTTCTCAATACGTGCAACTTCCTTCTGACCTGCAGCAAACTCCAGCATGGCGGAAACAGTATTAGCCATGTTCTGTTCAATGTTGTCATTCTTAGAGGTTAATTTCGACAACTCCTCTTCAATGGAGAATTTTGCTTTTCTAGAAGTGGATGCTTTACTTGAGGAAGCTTTAGATTTCTTCTTCGATGCATCCCTCCCCTCTGGACGTACAAGTGAGGGGAAAGGAGATTCAACGTCCTCACCACTACTTTTTCTTTTAGATCCACTACTGCCAGATTCATTTGCTCCTGTCATATATTTTGGTTGATGACGAACTAGCTTCCACTCATCCAACAACGTAAACCTCGCATTTTCATTCTCTTGGTACAACTCTACAGCCTTGGATATGTAATTCTCATCGGACCAACCGCTTCGCCTCTCCTTGCATGCAGCACGATAACAACCAACAAAGCTGCTTATCTTTTTATTCAAATGTCGAAAATGAGCAGAACACCGCCCTGAAGTCCTCTGTTTCCCACTTTGTGTGCGCTCGTTCACATAGTCTGTAATTTTACCCCAGAAAGTATCGCCCTTTTGATTTATCCCCAATTCACTGTCATTGCTAACATGAAAATAAGCCGTTAGTAAGATTTTGTTCTCCTCGGTGCTCCAAGTATCGTAACTTGTTCTCTTGGCTGATTGTTGAGTTGGTGGTAGAAAACTATGGGGAGTATCCCCTCCAGCAGTTTCCAACGAAATCTGGGTGGAAAATTCTGGAATATCAGTCGATCCGCTACTGAAACGGGGTGTGTTTGGATCAATAGTCGGATCTGTGCTTGGATCATTCATGTGGCCTGGAACATAGCTATTTCCAGTGACTGGTGGATAGCCATAAGGCATATAAGGATGGTTGTATGGGTATTGCATGCCAAAATTTTGTGGCATCATATACGACATTGGAAAATTGGGGTGCAGCCCCATATTCTGAGTACTTTCCGGGCGTTGCATATTTGGATTTTGAGGTTGCATATTCGAATTCTGGGGTTGGTTGGGAAAATTGTAGTTCATGGAAAAATTAAAATTTTGTGAAGGATCTATGAAGAAGGATGAAGTTTCTAAAAAATAATGAAAATAGGGTGTAAAAAACTCGAATTTTTTTTGTTGTCCAAATGACACAAACTTAGGCTCTATTTATAGAGCTCGAAAAATGAAAAATATTGATATAAAAATTAAATATCAATTTCAGTCAATTATGGGCCAAAATATTAAATTAAATAATATTTATTTTAGTACACTGGTGGACCGTGCTTTTCTTTTACTTTTTTTTTGATTTCTAGTACACTGGTGAGACCGTGCTGTGCTTTTAATTTTTTTTTTTGATTTCTAGTACACTGGTGGGACCCACACATTTAGATTTGCCCATGGGCAATTTTTGCTCTCCAAAACTTTCTCTCTCCGGTTGCTTTCCATTTGCTTCCCTGCTGTACAAAATATTTCCTCATTTGCTCTCCTGCTGCTGATGGTCTTAGTTTTAAAAGCACGTTGCTCCAGTAATTATGAGATTTGCTTGACTTACTGTGTTAATCCAACTATCCTTTCTTGTTTTTCATCTCAGGTGCTTATGTATAAAGGAGCAGGTGCGCTGGGGGAAGTTATTGAGAATGCTGAGTTGTATCCCATACGAGGCCTCTTTAACTTCAGCAGTTTCTTCCATGACATCGATGATTATTACTATTGCAGAAATGGGTATGAGCGTGGTGTTTCCACTGGTTGGAGAGCTTTGAATGACTTGTACAATGTAAGGATGTCTTAGATTGAGTTGTTAACTGCCTTCTTTTGATGAGGAATAACAGTGGGTGCATTCTAGTCCCTTATTTTTATGAATGATCCAACAATGCTAGTTAGTCGTACCCCTACTAGCGCACCAGCCTTCTAGCTAGTTAGTGATGCCCCTACTTATGCACCAGCCTTCCAAAACTTATGGAAACTCCTTGTTTGTACATCTTTATCTCGGAGTTCAATGCATCTCCGGAGGGTATAAAACAGTTTTGTTTCCTTTTTTTTCAAATCTTTTTGTGGAGTTCCTGTGCTGTATGTGGAACATGTTTGGTGAGAAAAGCTTAAACATTGTTCTTGATGATAATGGAGAAGAAGCAACAAGATGATGCTAACCTCGAGGTCATGTTTAAATCAATTTTCTTCTTGGATGTTATGCAAGTTTTACCACTATTGTTCTGAATGGTTTTATTTTTTTTTTTAATTTTTTTATACTGGATCACCAGCGGCCTCCAAATCAGTGAGACTTCTACTTCTGCATTTTATAAATTAGTCAACAATGCGAAGTTACATATTACTATAAGTTAACACAAGGATCGGCATGTAGTCCATAGATCTTCGCATCTGTTATGAATGATTTCACTGAGATTATTTATGATGATATCCATGGTCAGTGTCAGTTACTAGTGATTTAGTATTAATTGGTGAGATTAGGAGCGGCATGAAGAAGTTTTAGAATCTAAAGGAATTAGAATCAACAAAAATGAAATACAAGGAAACTGCGAGGAAAAAAAGAAAAGAGTGTAGAAATGCAATATTTTGACGGCATTAGTCTTTTATCTTCTTTAGATTTCCTAGAGAGATGCACTTCTTTTGGATGGTAGTATGGTTCAATGAGTTAAAATTGCGGCAAGCTTGCTCATAATTAAGCACAAAACTATTGTTCTGATATGCTTGCCTTCTATCCTACAGGACAGAGACTGAGTATGTGAGTCAGATGCTAACCAAGATCAAACGTTTTGCTGAACATCATTCATGTCATGTATGGTTCGTTGCGCATCCCAGACAGGTAATCCATTTAATTGCTGGTAGTTCCAAATGTTAGAACATGCGTGTGATTTATACTCTTCTACCTAATTTTTTTTTTCCAAAGCTTCAACAATGGGGAGGTGGTGCACCAAATCTGTATGATATTAGTGGAAGTGCACATTTTATCAATAAATGTGATAATGGTATTGTCATTCATCGGAACCGGGATGAAAAAGCCGGGCCTCTTGACCGCGTTCAGGTTCGCCTCAGTTTGCAGCATAGGGAGCTTTGCAAGTTTGCATTACCTTATGCTCACTAATAATTATCTACTTGTAGGTTTGTGTGCGCAAGGTACGAAATAAGGTAATAGGGAATATTGGAGACGCTTTCTTATCATATGACCGGTGAGTTTTCTTGTCCCTTGTTTTATTGTTTCTTTATCTAGTCTTGATATGCAAAACTAATTTACATAATACTTCCTGTCTTCTATAGAGCAGTGACATTTCTGTGTATGTGTCCTCAAATTGGTCTCACCTATGAATTAGGTCAGAGAACCGCGTAGAAGTGTTTTATTTTCTCTTGCTTAACTTGCTGGTTGCTTAATCTACTGATTATTGTTCATCAGTGATAAACTTTTAGCCCTACGTAATTGACAAGAGACTAGGTATCAGTTCTCCGGACGAAATGGAGAGATGACAAGTGAAGATGACTAAATTTGTTCCAGAAACTTTTTGCATTCATCTTTCGCAGGCATTGACCATTGACACATCTTGACTGTAGTTCCCTGGACAAACAAAAAAAAAGTTTTGCATTTTCTATTTTCTTGGAGTTTCTACGGCACCCATAGCACAGTACACATTTTGCTCCCTGGACATTTATCTTAATCTAGTGCTTTTTTCCACAATAACACCAGAGGCTACTACAAACTCAACAATCATGGTTTTGTGCAGGATTACCGGAAAGTTTATGGATTTAGTGCTGGAATAGTAATAATAATTTGCCCTTGAACATCCAATACAAATTATGTAATAATATTGTAATGTTAATAAATTTAATTGTTGCACATAATTTGGTTATTATTTATATAATTGTTATATATATCCTTAGAAGTTATTTTTGTTAGATCATGCATTGTGATGGTCACTTGTTTGGAGATATGATCTAACTTAGAAATTTCTTAAATTTGTGCTTAACCTATAACTAGTAAAGGATAACTTTGTTATAACAGGTTATTATGCATGACACCGATATATGAGATATGGTGGTGGGTCTCAACCATCGAGAATGGAGATTCTCCGGGTGTATGTCATAAGCACGCATTATGATGTGTGTAGCACTAGACCGTATTTGAATTCTCTAGGATGAGTCACCTAAGAGATAGAGAGTTCAAATTGTTACATGGTCCCTTTGACTTGATGATATTATCATTTTCGATTTGATAATTTAGTATGCTTTGATGCGATGGTTAAGCTTGTTTAGCAAGCGCTACACAACCTGAAACATTGGGTTGCTAAATTTCATTTAGGAAAATGATGGATGTCTAGATAGGATCCAGTATGCTCATTATGATGAGTTAATTTATTATGCATTCCCATGAAGCTATTAAATTCCTGCCGGCAGGTAGCTTTGAAAATATTTTTACAAAATTTATTTTCTTATAAAAAATAAAATATTTTGATGTTTCAAAATAATTTTTATTTATGTTCATGGGAATTGCAAATTTAGGCATGAGCAAATAGGTGAGTTGTCCTGCTTAAAAGAGTTGCCTAAAATAAATGATACTGGAAGGGATTGAATGTAAGATATTATTTATTAATAATTAATCCCATATTATGGAAGAGCTTTTATGAACAATTGGTCGGATAGGGATTTGATTGTTAAATTAAAATTATTAATTTGATTAATAATTGGTTCTTGATATGGGACCCAATTGGTCTCACTAATGTCATTAGAAGAGGTATACATGCAATACAATTCTATTTCTATCCTTAATTGTTATGGATAAAGTTTTTGAATAAATCTATTTCTATCCTTAATTGTTATGGATAAAGTTTTTGAACAAATCTATTCTATCCTTAATTGTTATGGATAGAGTTCTAGATAATTATGAATTGTTTAAAGTTAAAATCTCTAAGACTAGTGTAATCCTATAAATAGGGTTCATATGTAGCCTTATGAAGGGTTAAGAGAAGAGATTCAAAATCTTATGAAGATAATATGAAGAAATAGATTTTTGAGAACCTATCTCTCAGTATTGCTCCTCTACGGTGACGGGTGGATTTCAATTGGAGGCTTTTTCTCTTGAGGAAGCTATTTTGGATTGATCTCGTGACAGATTATTGTAGAAATTCGGAAAGCGTTTCAGGTATTCTTCTAATATTTAATTAATTTTGATTAATAGTCATGATATGCTTTTTCCGCTGCGTTGTATGTCATGATTCCAACATTTAGATGATGATGCCCGAAGTAAGTAGATTTAGCACAATACTTAAAAAAAAAGTCCATGTCGGATATGTTCGTGAGAGAGCCACCTAACGGTATACAGTGCAATACAAAAAGAACAGGATCTTTAACGATGTATCTTCAGAGCTTGCTGTGTACTTAAGATTGCAGCAGTTTTACATCCAGTTTGAGTGTGTAGTGGTCGGTGCCACCAACCATTTGTATGCTCATCGGTATGAATCAAATGTTAATATTATTTTTTTCGAGATTCTTTTTTGTTACTCAATTTTACATGAGTTCCATTGTTAGTGCTGTGTATGTTGGAAGCTTATTCATGAAAAGGTAATTTTGACTTTGTGAATAGTCCCGCATCGGAAAATGAGATGAATAGTAAAGGGTATATAATGGTTCTCTCCTTATTGGGCTTTGAATAGTGTTTTGGGTTTTGTGGGCTTTGCGGTTCTACCATACACGCGCGCGCACGCACGCCGCGCCACGCCACGCCCGCACGCCACGCCGCAGCCGCACACTTGTGCTTCTCAAGCCTTCATTTTTGCACGTTTTACACATTTTGTAACGGCTGCATGCGGGTAACGGAAGCATTAACCGTGCGTAACGGTCCCTTGGATTCAGCGGGGGTTACACCTTTCATCACCTATAAAAGGAGGCTTGGAGCTCATTCAGAATCACTCCAACGAAGAGGAAAATATCTACACTCTCTTCTCTTCTCTACTCTTATACCTCCAAGAAAAGATTTCAGCTACATATTTACATATTCTATTTTCTGGGCAACTGTTTTCGTCTGAGCATAAGCTCTGTGTCTCACGCCCGAGTGCAGAGGCCGGCCGATTCCGGGGGTTTTTACCGCTAGGGGAGAGAGGACAAACTGCGCCAGGGCGATAGGCGGGTCCTTAATCTTCTAGGGCAGTGATATCACGACTGCTCCCAATCAGGCCTGAATTTTCTAACTCTTTAATTTGTTTTATATTATTATTGTTTTGACAGCAATCTAGAAGATTAATAAATAATTCTTGCTGTTAAGTTAATTAAAAAAAAATTAAAAAAAAATTACTGTTCATCGGGATTACTGGTCACCCGAATTTTATATATTTGTTGTATTAGTTAATTGTTTTAATTTGTTGCATCTAAATTAGTTTAAAGAAAAAAAATTATTATTTCTCTGCTGCTTCTGTGCTCAAATTCAGTATCTGTCATAAACAAAAAATCTTTAAGTGAACCGGTTCAAGTTTTCTTGGATTAGTTGGTGTCTAAGGAAAGGTTTAAGGGTTGCGTAAAGCGCTCTGCAAGAAACGAGGTACTTAATCGATCATTGATCAACCTCTAGTACTATCCTTACCTGGCCAAACTACCCGAGTAAAACTTTAATCTTTTCACTTTTAGAGTTTTTGGTTAAGAGCAGGTTTAATTAAGTTTCTGGTCTAGTAATATTGACAAAATCCTTTTTTATATCAGATTACATCTACCTAGACTAGTAAACTTAAATTGGACTTATGGCAATTCCTGATCATTCAAAAAGTGTCAAACCTGAGAAGTTCACCGGTGTTAACTATAAACGGTGGGCTAATCAGATGAAATACTGGCTTACTACCTTAGGTCTTTTATCTGCTATTGACACTTCTGAGTCATCTACTAGTGGTTCTCAACCTTTGACTCCTGATCCTGCTCAACCTGCTCCTTCCACTTCTGGTTCTGGTGCTAGCTCCTTTTCTAGCTCTATGAAACCAGAAGAAATCAACTATCATTGTTGTCATAGGATTCTTAGTGCACTTGCAGACAACCTTTATGACATATATTATGAGTTCAAAAGTGCAAAAGAACTATGGAATGCTCTTGAAGCAGAATATGGCTATGATGATACCGGAATTCTGCGTTTCACCTCCTCCTCATTCAATAAGTTCACAATGGTTAATGACAAGCCCATTAATGAACAAATTCATGAATCCCTAGATTTCCTCCGTCATCTCCAATCAAAAGGAAACACTTTTACTGACGATTATAAAGTTTCCTGTTTGATTGATAAACTTCCTCCCTCCTGGTCTAGAATTGCTGAAGATCTCCGACACAAGCAAGGAGATCTAACCTTAACTGAAGCCCTCAAGGCTATTCGTATTGAAGACCAACATAGGCAAAATTCCAATACCAAGAATGAAACAAAAGCTAAAGTAAACTTGGTAGAGGATAAGCCTAAATCTAAGAATTTCAAACCCAAAGGGAAGAAATTCAAGAAAAATCAACAATCTTTCAACAAATCTTTCAACAAATCCTCCTTCAAACCAAATCCCAATTCTTCCAGCCATAAGTCTGATGAGAAGTTCTGCTTTGTCTGTGGTAGAACCAACCACATGGCTCACAACTGTTTCTTTCGGAAGAAGGAACCGGCCAAACCTGCCCCTAAAGGAAATGGATCCAACAAAGTTAATATGATTGAAATGAATCCAACCTCCTTCAGGTTAGCCTCTTCATCTCATCTTGTAAATTCTCTAACTTCTTCCACTGATTGGTATTTGGATTCCGGAGCAAATATCCACGTCTGTAATGACCGCTCTTGGTTTTCAAATTATCAGGAATCACGTGGAGGAAGCATAAGCTTAGCAGATGACTCCACTAATTCAATAATAGGAAGTGGACGTATAGAGCTCACCATGACTTCTGGGAAAGTTCTTCATTGTAGGGTGAATATTTGATTCTTCCGAAGAAAGGAGTTTCGTTTGTATTTATAAGAAAGCTTATTACAAACTAACAAATCAAATGTTTACAACAGAAGCGGAGGGAAAGGCCCTCCTTGTTTAACGTGGGTTCCTCGGTGGCGATAGGACGCCTCGCTCGGTGCTCGTGCCGAGTCTGCTTCCCTTGGACGATCCGATCGAAGTTGGAAAATGTTAATTACACCAAAGAGGGTTAAGACAATAGTAATTTACGTCACATTTTAATCAGCAAAGAAAGGACTGAAATTAGGGTTTTTTATACAAAACCACCACAAGATATAGTGCTTTTCAGAAAACCACCACAATTTTTTTTTATTTTCATAGAACCACCACAAAATATAGTGGTTTTTCAGAGAACCACCACAAAATAAAAATTCATTGAACCACCATGAAAATATGCATCCATATAACAAAGTGCCACCAAATTATAATTTTGCATCTATATCATGTTAAACTAAATAATATCCTAAGTCCCTAAAATACCCTCATCGTGGGACCCACCAATCTATTACTATATTTTCTCAAACCAACAAAATATCTGATCGCCGTCGATAACTCAGATGGTTGGGAGGTTCCAATATGACTCCCGCTATCTTAGGTTCGATTTCCGGCCGCCTCATTATCCAAAAACAAAAAAGACAACAAAAAAAAAACAAAATACCTTATTTCCCTTTCAAATTTCGTTAACTCCCTCAAAAAAGTTTTAATTCCCTCCAAATACCCCCACTCATCCTCTCTAAAATTTTGTCATAATGGGCATTTATGTCATTTTATACTATTATTTAACAAAATAAAGATGTAAATTATCACTTGGTGGGGTTTTGTAAAAGATTCATATTTTCATGGTGGTTCTACGATAAATAAAATTTTTGTGGTGGTTTACTGAAAAACCAATATATTTTGTGGCGGTTCTATGAAAATAAAAAAAATTATAGTGGTTCTCCGAAAACCACTATATTTTATGGTGGTTTTGAGGAAAAAAACCCAAAATTTTAATTCTCTATACATATGTCAAAAGTATAATTCTTTAACTGAATGTTGCTAAAATATAAATACATGTTCATGATCAAAATTTCCCCAAAGGCTTAAGTTACAGTTGAAGAACATGAGGAACTGTCATAACTGTATTCCTCAATTAAAGAGAAATACAACACAAATGTGGCCAAAGCTCACAAAAACAAGGAGTTGGCAAAATGCACTTCTCACTATTGACCATACACTTGCCGTTAAGTAATGTGCTTCTAAGTTTGAAACTTTTCAAACTTAATTAATAAGTTTCCTTCTCTAACAAATGCATTAACTTAAACTCATGAACCTAAGAATAAACTTCAAAAGACAACTTCTGGAGTTTACAAGTGTCATAACAAAATCTCAAGAAATTCACCTCTAATATTGTTTGAGCAAGATCATGATCTCCATTTGCATACCCAATAGGATTGGCAAGATTCTCTAAAAACTGCCACTCAGAATCATTTCCTATATAACAAGCAAAGAACACCTTGAATTTTGATTCATGATGAGAATGGAACAAAATAAACGCAGACCACGAGTGATCTCTTATACCGATGCCATCAACAGCCATATCTTTATCACCAAAAAACCAGGTATTTTCTTCCTCTCCATCTTCAAGCAAATAAGAAAACAAGCATAAGATAACATGGATAAATAATCCGCCAATACAGCTTATGATTAACTAGAATAAAAATAGAAGCAAAGAACAATAACCAACCTTCATTAGGTTCAGGATTTAGTTCAGCACATTGACAGAAAATGTCAAATAAGGTATCCACTGTTACAGCTAAGTCAAGGATACAATATTGGAGATAATAAGCATAAGAGAAATACAAAGTGTAAGATCCAAATCGAGCTATGAAATACCAGATAGAGGAGAACCAAATTTGCAGTTGGTTGAAATAGTTGCTAAGCATATAGGGGTTGACAGTAACAACAAAATGCAAGTGCGACACAGTAACATTTGCCAAAATATAAGTGGAAAGCATATTCATGTATATTTGGAGTATTGGAAGTTGGTGAACTATGAAGCATTCCTTCACTGTAACATTAAAAAAAACTTCGAAAAGAGATCTCTAAGGCTCGTAGCCATAATGCACAGTTCATGTGCAGGAAGGTCCAATTACAAAGATATTAGTCTATAGAATGTAAATAAAGGATAGCTTTACACCAGCATCAATGAGCATGATAATGGACATAACAATTTAAAACAAAAAGCTACTAGACAGGATGGCTTGACTAAACCACAGTTCATATCCAGCAAACTACCATGACCGTTAAGTGCAACTAAAAAACTTCATTCATCAAGAATGTATGTCATTTTATAAGAACACCCTTGTCCCTTATGGGTGTGTGAGTATGCAAACAAATATGCCTAATCTGGCATTTGACTTGCAATTACACACATACAAACTTTTTTTGGGTGGGGAAACTTAACAAGAAAACTAAATTTAAGTAGAAGATACTATAAAGACTTGAGCCTATATACCAGAAGGAACAGCCCTGAACATATTCATGTATTAATATAGTCAAACATAACAAGTACTGAATAGAAAAACAGGCAAAGGCAAATCCTTTTTAGTAAGGCAGCTAATGTTAAGTTGTTAGGATTATTGAATATCATTGGAAGCACCGAGAAGAAGGATACATTGACTAGGATCAGAAGGCACAAGCCTCATCTCAGCGATCTTTGATAGCTCCACAGCCTCTGCACCTTCTGAATCTGGGTCCTCAGAAACTGCATCATGATCCTCCTCTGTCTCAATCTTGATAGAACATACAAATACTCAGAAGAATAGACAGAAAACAGAAAACTCATGTAGTGTTTCAGAGAATAGAATTAGTGCCAAAGAGAAGTGTGAAATTGACAAGGCAAAATAAATTTATATGCGTTAATGAGAATAGTGTCATCGTTGCAAAGCGCAGAAAACTTTAGAAGGGCACAGTTAACTACATGTTCGCCGTGTGTACACAGGTCTTTAAAAAAAACTTAGTAGTGCTATTTATGGGTCGTAGAAAACTGTTAATTTGACTTGGTTTCTGTGTTATACGTGATAGACTTTTCAATGCAGGCACTAAAACTAAAATCAACCATTTATAATATATTACTTTCCGAATAAACCTTCACGAATAAGTCCAAAGCATGCAGTGCAACTTCCTCCTAAGAAACTCCCGAATACGACATCAGAGTAATGAGTGCGCAAACTATGGCACAAGTAAAGGGAGAAAACATACCATAAACTTGCACATGCAATAGCCAAAATTTCTCAGGATGAAATTGGAAGTCAGCAGACAGAAAATACCCTCCAAACACAACCAAAAAAAAAAAAATCCGATGGCTATTAAGCAGAGATTCCGGGATTCATATTTTCTTTTGATCTCGGACTGGATCCACGAATCAAAGTCTCTAACTCTTTTGGGTTTCTTTTTTTTTCCACAATCTACTAATTAAACTTTTAAACCTGGGGCTTTAGTGTCTAGTCAGGTTAACAATAGTGGACAAAGCTATTAGTTAATTACAAGAGAACCAGAAGCCATATCCACCTTCATCATAGGTTTCATAACAACACGGTACTCGAATTTTTAGAATTCAAAAAGCTTTCAACTTGGCTATGATGACCATAACTCATACTCCAAGTCAAGCTACAAACTTTTTGAATAGTAAGCAGAAGGAAAGAGTACCCGAGCGTAGATACAAGGCGATGGGTACGTCTCGGGGTCCCTCGACACGGCGTGAAGCGAAATCGACGAGAAATCCACAGCGTAGCCCTTGGATTTGTCTTCGTCGCTCAGCCAAATCACCCTCCTTAACTCAAATCAAAACCTTTGAATCTCGGTTCAAATCGAAAGGGGGGAAATGAAGTAAAAGAACAAGAACAGGAGGGGGGAGGAGGG